CTTCTTCTTCTTCTTCTTCTTCTTCTTCTTCTTCTTTCAGTACTGATCTTGATCCAAATTAGTTGGCAAATCTCCTCCCTGCAACTATTAAAATACAATTCAACAGTTTTTATGAGTTAAAGAAACAGTGGAGGGGGGCTGTTGAGACAGTATCTCCCTGGCTGTCCTTGAATTCTCTATGTAGACCAAGCTGGTCTTGAACTCACAAAGATTCGTCTGCTTCTGCCTCTGCTGGGATTAAAGGTGTGCACCAATATGCCTGGCTTAAAGATACATTTTTCTGAGATCACAAAAGGTTTAATGATGATCAATGCTTGCACCACCCTCTAAGCAACTGAGCTTACCAGACAGCTAGAATAGTTTGTTGACTGGCCAGGAAAGAAATTATTTTCCTCTATTACCTAACACCATGGAAAATTACATCCACACCATATTTTACATAGGAAGCTTATTTTATTATAGTTTAACAAAATAAAGGTGACATTTATCTGGTCCTATAATATTTGCTGATTTCCTTTTAAATAAGTGGGCCACCAAGCCTGAGACTATTTTTTTTAATTTATTTTACATACCAAGCACAATTTCCCTTCCCTCTTATCCTCCTGGCCTCCCCCCACCTACCTTCTACTTCTGCCCCACCCCACCCCCATCCCTTCCTCCTCAGTCTCCATTCAGAAGGGGTAAGATCTTCCATGGACGTCCACAAAGCATAGCCTATCAAGTTGAGGTAGAACCAAGGCCCTCCCCCTTGCATCAAGGCTAGGCAAGGCATCCCACTATAGGGAATAGGTTCCAAAGAACCAGTTTATGCATCAGGAGTGGGTCCTGGTCCCACTGCTAGGGGCCCCACAAACAGATCAAGCTACACAACTATCACCCACATGTAGAAGGCCTAGGTTGGTTCTATGCAAGCTCCCAAGCATAGGTTCAGAGTCCCTGAGCTCCCACAGCTCAGGTCAGCTGATGAGACTATTTTTTTAAGGGCTTACTTTTAGTTAGCCTCTCTTGCCACTAGGTGTTGAACCTAGCCTCTAAATACAGCTGGTCAAGCATAATGTTTATGAGCAAGGTTTTGTCTTAATCTGTCGAAATATTAATATTCCAGCTTCAAAAGTGACTACAGAACAAGTTTACTTCCCTGAAAATTATTAAATATGAATAATGAACAAAATAAGCCTTCCCCATGCCAACTTTAACTCTCCTTGTATGAACTTGGGAAGGAAAGGAGAGGTATTTTTTTAGCACCAGAAACAGTGTAGTTAATAATAAAGCTCCCATCATTTCAAGTTGAGTGTTTTACATTCTTCCTGCAAGGAGAAATGGATCCAGTAAGTGTGTTCCTGGCAACCTGAGGTTACCATGGAGCCTCAACTGGCCTCGTTTAATCAGGAAAGGGCACTTAACCTGCTGGCAGATTGCATAGACGGAATAACTGCACTGGGTAGGTACTTAGACCTGTTATCCTTTATCGAGTGAGAGAGCTGGCCAGTCACATTATCCCTCCTTCCACTACTTGTGCTGTGAGCTAGACATAGCATGGATCCAGGTTTAGGACATCCCTTGATGCCATAAAATTATACTGCTACATAGTCATTTGCACCTCCATTTAACTGTTGCATTATAAGAAAGCATATAATGCCCCATATTTAAGTTTAATTTGAGGAACATTACTTACGGAGTAGGAAGTTTCCTTTGTATTTGCTTGAATAAACTAAAAAGAAGCACTACCTATGAACTCAGGGCTACACCAAGGGGCCTCTAAATCTTAGAGCTGTCCTACCTCACTAATAATGATACACATGAATGAAACAAACCTGTTGTTTTCTACCATATTAGATAACCTAATGACAAACTGCTAAAAGAAATACCAGAGAAATAAACAGAAGTGTAAGATGTGGCTCAGCTGTTAGAGGACTTGGATGGTATTCATGAAGCCCTGGGCTCTTTTCCAGAACTACATAAATCAGGGCTGGTGACACAAACCCCATTTGGGGGTTGAAGCAGGAGGATCAGGAGTTTATGGGATGGATCCTTGGCTGCACAGCAAGCTAGAAGACAGCCTGGGCTGCACTGTCTCCAAAACATAATAAAATAAACAAACAAAAAACAAAGAATCCTTAGCTTTAGTAATAAAAGAGCTGGGCTTAGTGCCATGCATTTAATCCCACACTCCAGAGGCAGAAGCAGGTGGATCTCTGTGAGTTCGAGGCCAGTATGGTCTACAGAGTAAGTTCCAGGATAGCCAGGCTACACAGTGAGATGGTGAGGAGAAAGGGTGAGAAATGGGAGGCAGAGGAGAAAGAGAGAAATAGGCAGGCTTAAGGTTTAATCATTGATCGCTGGTGGTGAGAATTAAAATGTTAATCTCACTACCAAAAGAAACTCAAAATTTTTATTTTATTTACATATATCTAATAGTGGAGGGGAGTGGCTGTGTGCTATCATGCATGTGGAGGTCAAAGAGCAACCTGGCCTTTCCTTCTACCATGGTCTCTCCTTCCAGCATGTGGATTCTACAGATCCATCTCAGGTGATCAGGCTTGGTGGCAAGAAGATGAGGTGGGAATACTCTAAGAGCCAGAGGAGCTGGGGATTTGTTAATGGAATTTGTTATAAGATTGTACCTCCTAGTGCAGCCCAGGCTGTCTTCTAGCTACACCCAGAAACTCTCACTAACAACACTGCTTAAACATGAACTGAAAAAGGACAACAGTGATAGATATGCCAAACAAATGGAAGAAACCATCCTGAGTGAGGTAACCTAGACACAGAAAGACAAACATGGTATGTACTCACTCATAAGTGGATATTAGACATAGAGCAACCTACAGTCCACAAACACAGAGAAGCTAGGAAGCAAGGAGGATCTTAAGAGAGACATGTATGAATCCCCCCCCCACACACACACACAAGGGGAACAGGGACAAGAAATCTCCTGAGTAAATTGGGCCTACAGTCCACAAACCCAGAGAAGCTAGGAAGCAAGGAGGATCTTAAGAGAGACATGTATGAATCCCCCCCCCACACACACACACAAGGGGAACAGGGACAAGAAATCTCCTGAGTAAATTGGGGGTAGAGGGAAGGGAGGAAGAAGAGGAAGGGACAAGGGCAGAGGGAAGAGAACATGAGGGATCAGGAAGGTATAGTTGGGGGAAGGACAGAGGAGGAGAGCAAGGAAAGAAATACGTTGATAGAGGGAGCCATTATGGGCTTAACAAGTAACCTGGCACTAGAGAAATTCCCAGGAATCCCCAACGATGACCCCAACTAAGAATCTAAGCAATAGTGGAGAGGCTACCTTAAATGCCCTTCCCACATAATGAGATTGATGACTACCTTAAATGACATCATAGAACCTTCATCCAGTAGGTTGATGGAGGCAGAAGCAAAGATTTACAGCTAAGCACATAAAACCGAACTAGGACCCCTGAATGTGGGTGTCAGTTGGGGGGCTTTGGCAGTCTATAGGGACTCTGGCAGTGGAACCAGTATTTATCCCTAGTGCACAAATGGGCTTTGGGAACCCATTCCCTATGGAGGGATACTTGCTCATCCTAGATACAGGGGGGAAGGCCTTGGTCCTGCCCCAAATGATGTGACAGACTTTGATGATCCCCATGGGAGGCCTCATCCTCTCTGAGGAATGGATGGGGAAATGGTGGGGGGAGAGTGGGAGGAAGGGTGGGAGAGGCAAAATAAGATTGCTTTTAATTTAAATAAAAATTAAGTAAAGTAAAAAAGAGAAAATAGGTAACAAAAAAAATAGAGATGCCAAAGTGGACAGGGAAAGTCCATGAGGTCCCAACTCTACACCAAGAACTATAGGCAACTGAGGAATACTGAGTGCAGAAGAAATAGTCTTTTGCAAGGAAAAGCACACCAGTTGTTTGTCCAATACTAAGTTAGTCCAATATTAAATACTATATGCATATGAGTAATGTTATACAGATGAAGGAAGTTACATTTAGAAACATATGTATATACATATACATAGATGCATGTAATGAGTATTAATGAAAAAGACACGAATCTGAAAGAGCAAGGAGGGGTTTGGATGGAGGAAACAAAGAAATAATGTAATTATAATCTCAAAAATGAAAGAAATGTGGAAAAATTAACCTATCATTGCAACAATAACCTTTTTCTTTTTGAGATTATGGTCTCACTATGTAGTTAGTGCTGACTCTCTTGGAAGTCACCATAGACACCATGTTGGTCTTGAATTCAGAGATGAGTCTGTCTGCCTTTTGTTTTGTTTGTTTGTTTGTTTGTTTGTGTGTTGTTGGGGTTTTTTTTGGTTTTTTAAAAGATTTATTTATGTATACAGTCTTCTGCCTGCATGCCAGCAGAGGGCACCATATCTCATTACAGATGGTTGTGAGACACCATGTGGTAGCTGGGGAATTGAACTCAGGACCTCTGGAAGAACAGTCAGTGCTCTTAATTGCTGAGCCATCTCCAGCCCCCTGTCTGCCTTTTGAAACTAGGATTAAAGATGTGTGCCACTCTGCTTGACATCAGATTTTATTTACTTCTGCCAAGTCTTTTGTTAGTAACAGTGTTTTAACTGACTCCTTTTTTCTTTTTGGATTTTTTGAGACAGGATATCTCTGTGTAACAGTCCTGGAACTCATTTTGTAGTTCAGTTTGGCCTTGAACTCACAGAGATCTGCCTGCCTCTACCTCCTGAGTGCTGGGGTCAAAGGTATGTGCCACCATGCTCAGGCTGCATTCCTCTTTTCTATTCATGGCTTCCATGCTGCTGTAAGCACCAGCCTTCAGCAGCTCAGGAGTTGAGGGGGAGCCACAGAGTTGGCAGACTAATTACTCAATTGACTTTTCTATTTGAGGGAGTAAAACTTAATTCTCTAGGGCCAGTGAGCAGGGCAAAACTTAATTCTCTGGGGCCGGAGAAAAAGGGAAACACGCACACACATACACACCTCCACCATATCAGGATCTCACCTAGAGTGATGACGAATGGCAAGCCTTCAGCAGGTCAGAGAAACTGAAGAGGAAATGCAGAGAGGAACTACTGAAAAAACAGACACACGATGACTTTTCTGAGAGTAAAGCTTACTTCTTTATTATTCTTGTTGCTTGTCCTTCTCTATCTCTTCTGTTCTTCTACCCTGTTTCCCTTCTTCTGTTTCTCTATTTTTTTTCCTTTACAGCTTATCTACCCCAGCAAAATCTTTCAAGCAATATAAAACTAGCATTGTGGTTACACTTTATATTTAAGTGAATGATTATAATGAATACAAGCGAAAAACAACATGTTTCTCATCTCTCTTACATGATTAAGCATTTTATGTATTACAAGTGAAAAACAAATTATCCCCAGGAACCCACATACAGTTAAACATTTATCCTTTAGATTTCTACCATTTACATAGGCAGTTTTTATAATTGCTGGAAAACAGGTTACTAGTTTCATTTTTCATATTTCAGAGTCCAGTTCAATTACCTTAACTAACCATCCAATTATTTGTTGTCTAGACACAAGAAGTCATTATTTAAAGCTTTGTTTTAGCTGTGGTACACACCAAAACCAGTGAACACATATCCCAATATTGAAAAGAACTTGAGCTAACTCCTGGGATTTGATTGTTTTTCTTAATTGTTAACCTAAAAGTTTATGTGGCTCCTCTAGAGAAACATATAAGTCTTAGCTGTGTGACACTCCGTTGTTCTTATTTCCTATCCTCTGCAGCCCCTGCTTTATCAGGGACAGGGGCAATACTATAGTCTATCTTTTCTTATATTAATTTTCCTACTAAACTAACCTCTAACACAATCGCTTACTATATGTGTTAGAAACCCTTAATCATCAAAATTGTATTTAAACTAACACTATTATTACTTCAGTTAAACAGCACAGTTTAAGAGGAAATCATGACAATCCATAGGTAAAAATGCCCAGTAGAACGGGATATTTTCGTGAGATAATTATACTACATGAAAGGCAGTTGGGGATTCCCCCCACACCCATTCACACGATGCTAGATACCAGAGAAAAATGGCAGCAGCAAACATGTAAAGGCACAGCAGTAGCAAAAGGCATTCTGGGGCTGAGGTCCTCCGGGCCTTATCTGAGATTCACCTATCAGTGCCTTGCTTCCTGGTGAATATATCTCCTGAAGCTCAATTGCTACCTTAGGTTCCTCTGACATGGTCCCTAGCACTTGGCTTTATCATTTTTCTAGTATCTGCTTATTGTATTGTTATTGAAACACACCTTAAAAGAGGAGATTGACTCACACAATACTAGGTGTTCCTGCTAGTCTTCGACAGGAGCTTCGCCCTAATCCAATTAACTCTAGTCAGTGTGTGTATATCATGTAATAGAAATTTGGAAACCTACACACACACTCAAACACATACATACACACACACACACACACACACACACACACAGAGAGAGAGAGAGAGAGAGAGAGAGAGCGAGAGCGAGAGCGAGAGAAGAGAGATGCAGACACATAGACATACACATAATATTGCTGTGAGGTTGGGGGGAGTTGAGGTTGAGACAGGGTTTCTCTGTTTAACACCCCTAGCTGTCCTGGAACTCACTCTGTAGACCAGGCAGGCCTCCAAGTTATAGCTACAAGTTATAGAGACCCACCTGCCTCTGCCTTCTAAGTGCAGGTATTAAAGGCATGCACCACCATTCCTGGCTTAATAAACATAATCCTAAAGAAACTTGTGAGTACATGGGAAAAGGCTAGCTAGTGGAGATGGCAGTTGATAACAACAGGAAAAAATAAGACTCTATGGAGAAATCTGTGAGCAAATTGTAAATCTAGAAAACCATAAGGTGTGCTGACCAGAGAATGGGGTGACAAATTTAATTCACCTAGACTACGTATGTAGGAAATAAGAGTAAAAAGTTAAGTAGTAGCAAAATGTGCAAAGTCTGTTTAAGGTTTAATTATTTCTTGAAAACCAAGGAGCTACCTGTATATTAGAGAACAAAGTAAGTGACCACAGCATTTTAGGAAGACTTTTCTGGTGGTTTCGGGCATGACAAAAATGGGTCCAGCAGAAAGGAGCTACCTGGGAGGTTACCAACATGAATGGTGAAGATGGAAAGGGCAGGAAGGATGAACTAAAAACGATTAGCTTGTAGGTAACTTTTGGATTGCTGTGAACAAACAAAACATCTGGAATACCAGAAGGAAAGTTCTGTTTGACTCATTGTTTCAGAGCGAGTTCAGCCCATGGTGATTCAAAAGGAATGGGACAGGAGCAGCTGCACAGAATCAGGGATGCCTGGTGGCAGTTTTTCACATTTTGTCTGACCAAGAAACAGAAAGCTAGACTTTAAGCAGAGACCTGCTCTTAGTAACCAGTTTCCGTCAGATGGACAGCATGTTTTAAAGCCTCCAAGGCCTTCACAAGGCCATAGGGAACTGTGGTAGACTATTGTAAAAGCAAGGTAAACTGGGGAGGATGGAGTTAACTCCATCCTCAGAAAAAGCCACCTTAAGGAATTCTCTGAGTGTCTCAAGGCTGATTGAGCTCCAGTCAAGGAACCATAAACAATTTCAAGGGGAACCAAACTGTGCTCACCCTGGACAAAGTGACCCCATAAGGCAATGAGTAAATTTTGGTAAATAACATCTTCTCGCCACAACTGTCCTTGTGGGCAACTGTTAGTAACAACTTTGAAATTCCCCTAGCCCCATGTCAATGAATCCAAAGGCCACCTACTCTTACCCAATCCGGAAGAGTCCAGGCATGTACCACTGCTTGCAGTTTTTTCATTTATAAACCCCTTGCAGTTGAGGCCAGGTACCCTTTTCCTGAAGCTACTATGCCAGTTTGCTGAACAGGCTCCCTGCCAAGGCTTGTAACTTAACATTAACCCTTATGCATTTGCATCAGTGAGTCGGCTCCTTGGTGGTCTTTTTTTGAAGGTCTCACGAACTTGGCATTATTATTATTAATTATTATTTTATTTGTTGAGATAGGGTTTCTCTGTGTAACAGCCCTGGCTGTCCTAGAACTTGCTTTGTAGACTAGGCTGGCCTAGAATTCACATAGATCTACCTGCTTCTGCCTCCTGAGTGCTGGGATTAAAGGCGTGTGCCACCACCACCCTGCTTGGTATAATATTATTTTCAGGTATGTGACTTTTGTTTATGTAGCATTTGTTTAACTCTGTGAAGCTGTGATTCTTTGTCTAAAACACCTGCTGGTCCTAATAAAGAGCTGAGCAGCCAATAACAAGCAGGAGCAAGGATAGGCAGGGCTGGTAGGCAGAGAGTATAAATAGAAGAAACAAAGAGGAGCAAGAGGAGAGAAACGAGAACAAGAAGAGGAGGCCCTCAGGGGTCAGCTACCAATCCATCTAGCCACCCAGTCAGCCAGGAAGTAAGAAGGAAAGTAAGATATACAGAATTAAGAAAGATAAAATCCCAGAGGAAAAAGGTAGATGGGGTAATTTAAGACAAGAAAAGCTGGTTAGAAACAAGCCAAGCTAAGGCCAGGCACTCTAAAAGAATAAGTCTTGCCGGGCATTGGGTGGCGCACGCCTTTAATCCCAGTACTCGGGAGGCAGAGGCAGGCGGATCTCTGTGAGTTCAAGGCCAGCCTGGTCTCCAGATCGAGTGCCAGGACAGGCTCCAATGCTACACAGAGAAACCCTGTCTCAAAAAACCTGTCTCAAAAAACCAAAAAAAAAAAAAAAAAAGAATAAAAAGCAAAAACCAAAAGAGAAAAACAGCACAACAGGAAACAAATGTTCAAAAGAGGAGTCTATAGAGGGCATTTCACACCCAAATAAATCATAGCCTTTCATGTCTGGCCCTCGAAAGCTCATCTGCACAACTATGTATGTAGGACATATGTCTGAGAGTGATTCTCAGCTTTTATTGCTTCCTCTGGCAAGGAGGTGGGGGGAACAAGAGGATCAGCTTAGTCTCAGGGACTTCATGAAGCTATTTTGAATTGTTTACTTTCCTGCTTAAGGGGTGTCCCTGCAGGATGGCATGTTTCAATCTCAGAGGAAACTGCTATACAACACCTCTGAGACACACTGAAGTGCCTCAGCAATCTTCTAGATAATTCTGAGGCTAGTCAAATTGACCATGCAATCAGTTACCACAGACTGATGGAGTTATACCAGGAGGCACCTGGCATCTAGTTGTCTTTGTTGTTATTATTACAACTATTGCTTTCTTTTTCTTTTTCTTTTTCTTTTCTTTCCTTTTTTTAAAGACAGGGTTTCCCTGTTGTAGTCCTGGCTACCCTGAAACTCATAATGTAAACCAGGCTGACCTCAGAGATCTGCCTGCCTCTGCCTCCTGAGTGCTGGGATTAAAGGCATGTACTACTACACCTAGTTTATTTCTATTACTATATTCCTGTAGCTAGTTGCAGTATATGTTCATTTCTTTAAAGACTGTAAAATGTTGATGTCTTAGCTGGTTGGTTCTTTGACTATGGGACTACTCATTTTGAGATACAATCTAATTGAAAAAGTCCAGATAAATGATTATTTATATCAATGTGTTATGAACCACAGCATGCTAGCACATGCCTAACACTTGTAAGGTAGAGGCAGGAAGATCACGGGACTCAGAACAGTCAAGCATACACTTTTTTAGAAAGGTACTTTCTCAAGAAACAAAGCAAAATGTGGTAAAAATGATTGGCTATTTTTCTACTGATATCCAAAGGGTTTTATGAATTGCTTGAACTACAATAATTTTATGGTTTAAAGCATATTTTATATCTTTCAACCAATGCAACTTTATCTTTACAGCTGCTCAAAATATTCCAAGTTGGTAACAGAGCCACTTTAACTCAAGTCCTTAGCTTTGTTGTTGTTGTTGTTGTTTTGTTTTTCGAGACAGGGTTTCTCTGTGGCTTTGGAGGCTGTCCTGGAGCTAGCTCTTGTAGACCAGGCTGGTCTTGAATTCACAGAGATCCACCTGCCTCTGCCTCCCGAGTGCTGGAGTTAAAGGCATGTGCTACCACTGCCCGGTTAGTCCTTAGCTTTCTGGTATGACTAAATGTTCTGTGCTATACTTTGGTTTCTCTTCAGATCATATAAATCTTTTGCCTTTTAAATGTTCTATGCTACTATACATTTACTTTTCCTTAAATACTGATACTTTCTTAAGACAGGGCGATACAAACCAACTATGACTTTTTTCTACAAATGTACATATTTGATAGGTGTGTTGAGGACCAGTGAAATTGGCCAGGGCTAGGCCAAGTGAGGAGCGGTGAAGACAAACTTTAGAGAGTAGTACACACACTGATCTGATGGAAGACTGAAAGACCCCAGTGGGCCAGGCGTTGGTGGTACATGCCTTTAATCCCAGCATTCGGGAGGCAGAGGCAGGCAGATCTCTGTGAGTTCAAGGCCAGCCTGGTCTCCAGAGAGAGTGCCAGGATAGGCTCCAAAGCTACACAGAGAAACCCTGTCTCGAAAAACAAAACAAAACAAAACAAAAAGAACCCAGTAAACACACACACACACACACTTGTGTTGGAAATGGGTAAAGTGTTAAGGTTAGCAAGAATGAATATCATGAATAATATTTTAGAAACTAGGGATTGTCATCTTCCAAGTGTAGACTTGTTTTGACATTTTATAGGAGTGGCTCTTTGGAATGCCCAAGGTGTTTTCACTTCCTATACTCAAGTGAGCCCACGCCAAATTATGTTTCTTGAAGATCTTGTATTACTGTTACTTCTATTTTTCCCTTTTGTTGTTGCAGTTTCGTTTTTCTAGTTAGGGTTTCTTTCCCTGGCTACCCTGGAACTCACTCTGTAGACCAGTCTGGTCTTGAACTCAGAGATCCGCTTGCCGGAGTGCTGGGATTAAAGGCTTCTGCCCCTGCTGCTGGGCTGTGCTACTGTTACTTCTAATTTGTGACTTGTTTCTCGAACATTGTCTCAATACTTCTTGTTCATCCCCATTCCTTCTTACTGGAGTTCTCCTTGGATATTAAAGCATTTGTTCATTCTGTCTGGAAGACAATCGTGCCTATCTACTGCTAGATTTTCTTTACTCATCTGAGCTATCAGTCCTCATCTTAACAGGAAGGCCTCTGTGCTAGCTCTTATCACTATACAGCCTACTTTTTCTTTCACAGAGTTCATCACAATTGTCTTTCTTTTTTTAATATATATTAATATATATTAATATATTAATATATATATATATATAATGAGATAGGGATTCTCTGTACACCCCTAGCTGTCCTGGGACTCACTCCATATACCAGGCTGGTTTTCCAAGTCAACCTGCCTCAGCCTCCAGAGTGTTGTGATTAAAGGCGCGAGACACCACCACCCAGCTTCATCACAACTTTCAAGCTGTTTTACTCATTCATGCCGTGGCTGCCTTATCTAGAAGATAAAGTCAGACTTCCTTTAAGGCACAGAACAGATCCTAACCATATTCTTAATCCCTGGGCCTAGAACAATAATTAAGGAGACACTGTAGACACTACTGAATAAGTAAATGAAAAGGACATTATATAACAGCCTCAGATTCTGTCTCACAATCATTTAAAGCCTACCAAACGATTCACGTGGGAAATCTGCACCTCTGGGTGTAGGAAGCGCCG